AACACTTTAATTTAATTAAAATATTTTCTAGGCCTCCGAAATTTTCCAAGATTTTTTCTTCTGAGACTTAAAGCCAGGTAAAACCTTTTCTTAAATAATATTTCATTTATCTATTTGATTTTGCTAAAAAGCTGTTACCTAGTTGTTCTCTGAGAAAACAGCTAATACATTACTGGATATATACCTGTGGTAGTCCTTAGTAATAATTTATCAGGAAAGGGAATTTCAGAGGAGCACAGTGCAGCTTTTTGTAGTTTAACTTTTGCTATTGGAATAAAGTAAATCATTAACTCATCAGGCAAGACACACATTATTCTGCCTCCTGTACCCCCAAAGGGCCTCCTTTCCCAGCTTCTGCTCAGGCTACTGACCTTGCCACGGGGCACAGAACAGGGACCATCACACCAATTTCACAGCTACATGCCATGGTCCCATGAGTGCTGGGGGAGGTGACAGCACAGGGGGTGGCAGGACAGTGTCAGTAAAGCCCCACTAGAAAGTTCCATGTCAGACAATAGGGTTATGCCAGTTACACAAACTTAACTAAACTCAATCCAGCAGAATAAACAGCTCTCTCTCAAGAGCAGACTGCAGTTACTAACCTTCTCCCCTCCTACAAGAGTTTCTCTATGCTGTTTGTAAATCTCAGGAATTATATATTAACTTACCACTGTAAACGGAAGCAAGTAAGAAAATGAAATAATAAGTCCCATAAATCCAATTCATCCTGAAAACCACAAAATCATTCTTTAGGATATGTTCAATAAAGGGTGTGTAATTAGTTTTATTAAGCACTGCTAAGCCTAACACTGATTTACACTTGTACTGTTTCACCATTAATTCAAAATCACATTGAAAATTACAATTGCAGCTGTGACAGGCTGTTTTGGCATACCTTTTAACAGCAGAATATTCATTCCTGCTTAGACTGGGAACAATGTTCCACTGAAATGACATTACTAATACTGACTCTCCAGATAGTTTAGTAAATACAGTTATCAAGCTAGCAACTTGAACACTCACTGCTGCATATGCTATAAGAATTCTAAGACTTATTTCACATGCAACAACTTAATCTGTGACATAAGTTAACCACAAAATACAATCCATGAAAACTCCGACTTGCACCGTCTTGCTGCTATGAAAACCTTTCACTGAATACCAGTGCATTATTGCAATAATGATTACATACCTGAACACATAATAAGTCTGGATGCATGCATCAGGTTTGCACTCTACTAAAAAAAAAAAAGTCAAAACTTTGTGTTAAATATTACTTCCTGCAATGCTAACTCATCTTTAATGTTTACTTTGAACGGGTACTGTTTTTGTCAATACTGCTACTGACCTTGGGACACATCTATCATCCACACTGCACTGGAATTGATCCTGTATAACCACACATATGCAACATAGTCTCTCTTTTCTCCCCTATAAAATTATGATAATATTTCAAAACTCCTGGATAAATTTTCACCTCTATATCAAATTACGGAATTTTCATTGTCCCTGGATGCAATCACAAAATCTACCTGTATTTGAATATTTATAAAGAAAGTATGCTGAACTGACCATTTTTTGTGTTGCTTAACATATATTAGTATTCAAATAAAATAATTATTTTGCCTGTGTACGCGTGTGCACATTTCAATTGGTGGCACAAACAGGTTAGAACTTTTGTCCAAGAAATTAGTTTCTTCAATTTTCACTTCTTATCTGGGCTTTCCTATTCAGATATTGGGCAGTTATTCTAGTTTGCTACTGCTCTAATAAAAACACAAGCAAAAAACAAGAAAACAAAAAACCCCAAGAAAGCAAAACCAGAAAAATTAAACCAACAAACAAAAAAATCTCCAATCATACACTTTTGGTAAAATAAGGTATACCATTCAAATAAGCAGAAAACCAGAGCAGCTTGACCATAAATTTTACCAAGAACATGTGTGTCATTCATGCAACATGTAGTCATACCCACATTCATCAGAAGCTTCTGTAACATTTCGTTTTTATAATCCATTGTCTATATTTTAGATTTTTGTCTGAGGAAGGGGCATCTTCTGCTGATGGCTGTTTCAGAAGCAAACTACTGAAGAATAAAAAAAAAGGAAGAAAAAATATTTCCTTAAAGCAGTAGTTCTCAAATTTAGGCATCAGTCTTTCTAAAACAAATCATTTTAATTGCATTTTTAAGGACATTAGTTGGATTTGAAGGTGAAGTCCAGAAATAAGGCAGAAATGCTGTTCAAAGAGAATCACAATGAGCATGATCACTTTGGAAAATAATTGCATTTTCTTTCACTGGACCTGCTACTCACATGATGTACTCCCATTTGCACTTCTGTGCTGTTGCTCAAACCACCAAAGTTATTCTTCTGTACAGAGAAAAAATGTATTATGGACTCTATGATGATGAGTGAGTTATTGTCTATTATAGGACATATTTATTATAGGAAAAATTATAAAATAAATTGAGACAAATTCTCTGCTGGTATACGTTTCCTGAGCCTCTCTGAAATCCAGAGATTATATGATTTAAACTAGGAGAAGAGACAGAAATTTAAAGTGCATAGAATGTCAAAACCATCTAATGCTTCTTAGGTCATATGGGCTCAACACATAAGTTTACTAGTGGTCTTAAAGTCACTCATTGCATCAATTTATCTGTCCATATTCTAAATGTTAGCTATATCAGGATCTTGCATGTAGGGTTCAGTAATTCAGGTAGCAGAAATAAAAGAATAGCTCATCAAAGCATTTTTATAAATGGAAACATTTTTGATGATAAAAGTTCAAAATTTATTTGAATAATCTACAATTAAGACTTTGCTTCTGTTTGACTCTGCTTCATTTTGATTTGGTAGTTACAAAACCAAAACCTGCTGCAGCCTAGGCCAGTTCTTCAGGATGACATCTCCCTGGCAGTGCACTTGCTTGATACTGCTTTCTGCTGATTTCCACTGTGATCCATGCACAAATCTCATTCCTGCAAAGGTGGCAGGAATTACCGAACTGTTTCACCTCAGGAAATAAATTACTGGATTCTAGCCTGATTTAGGTCTAATTATGCCTGGCAGAACCAAATCCCACATTTCTTATGGCAGTCCTATTCAAAAAATCGCTTCAACATGGAAGAGGATCTACTCTCTGTGATGAGACAACACCTGCTGGTTGTGATGTGGAGCAAGAGGAGAAGTTTCTCAGAGGAAATGAGGGAAGGAAGGCACCAGTATGGTAGGAAAACCCCAAATTTTCATTTTGATTTTGCTTTATGCACACCCTTTCCATTTGAATGAGGATACCATAATAATTTCATGAACCTGAATGCTCCAGCAGGAAAAGAAACAACCAACCAAAAATATTCTGAACAACTTCATGGCTATCATTATGTATATGACAAAGGAGATAGAGAAATAAAATATCAAATGCTGCTAAAACAAACCCTAAATTTAAATCTCAATCTTTTCTTCTTACAATCAACAATCTAGAGCCTTTTCATCTGACTCAGGATGCCACTATCTGAGTGAAGAATCTACTGTCTCACTAGGTCAGAACCTTCTGTTTGACTTGATACCACCTCAAATGGCTGCAAAAAGATGGATAGAATAATTTACTGATTTGTGAATGGTGTAGCATTGTGTGTTGTATCAAATTAAAACCAGTTTACTAGTTCCATATGCTGAAATTATACATCAACAATAGTCTTGCTTGAAATAGAGCCCAGGAAACACTGCAAATCAGATGTCAAATAAGAAATCAATGCAAACAAAATTCAGGATAATATTAAAGAAAGAGAAGACAGTTGCAAATATTAAACAACAAATAGCTACTGGGTTTGTTATTTCAGAAGTCCTCTGTGATTCTTTCAGATTTTCCACATTTTTAAAAAAATGAAGAATCACATCACTGCCCAAGGCCTTCCTTTTTGGACCTATAGCACCTGATGCTGGTTATTGTTAGGTAATAGGGAAGACAGGATATTTCAACATACACTGAAATGCCCCAGTATCTTGATCAAGGCCTGTAAACTGCCAAACAGTAATTCTTGGGCAAGTTGTATGTTGTATGTCAATTACTAGCCTGGAATGAGATAATTTGGGGATACAACAAATGCTGAGTCTTTTGCTAACTGATAACTTTTGCCTTTCTTTGATCAAAATATTTTGCAATTTCAATGAACACTTAATATCTCCACAAGTTATACTCCAGGCATCAGATAGAAAAGTCCATTTGTTGAAAAAAAGATAGAGTTTTACTCAGCAGAGTGTAACTAAGAGACTCTCATTTCAGAAGAATCTCAGATGTATGCAGTTTTTTGGTTTAGAAAGTGAGTTAATTTATTTTATAATCTTTTAATCCATGCAGACCATGAAGGCCATCTTCTAAATATGACCTGACTATAAACTGAGGTGCTTCTATACTGGGAGTTTTGTCAGGGTGTGGCACAAATACTCCTTTAAGAAGAAAATTGGAGTAGGATTCTCTGACTCTTTTAGCTGCTGGAAAAGAAGATGACACATGAGATCAAACATGGCAAAATTATTTGTTTGTAGCAGCATACTAACATTTATACATCAGGTTTTTGTCTTTTACAGTATGAGGATTAAATTCAGGAAGGCAGGTGGATATCTAGTGTACACCACTATCCCACCTCCTGCATATGTCCAAAACATGCAGCTTTCAGAGACCAAAAAGCAGTTTGTGTAAAAGTGGCTGGGAAATTCTAGTGCCTCAGGGCACCTACAGGTGCTCTCAAGCAGAACTTCCCAACAGAGGGAGGTCACACCTTGTCTGTTGTCAGTGTTCCTTGGAACAGCAGTAAACCATGATCCAGAAACACTCACACATTCCATTTCTGTCATCCCAGTAGAAAGTCATGTCCTTTCTGACACCGCACAAAAGGGATCTTTATAGACAGTGTAATCTTTTGGTTTAGAGATCAGCTGCTACCTTAATACCACAGCAGATACCTACAACTCTGGAAAAAGATCACAAACAGCTACTATGCACATGCAATTTTTATTACACAATATTTTATTGTCCCATTATTTTATCAGGAGACCTGCAATGCCGTGCTGCATGCCACAATCCTACAGGAACAATCCCCCAAATAAAACCTCAAACCAAGTGTCAAACAAAATAAAACCCCACAAAAATAACAAACAAACCCCCACATCCAGAGGATTGCTGCTGACCACTACCAACACTACACGCCACATGATTTAACCTAATAAAAACACACTAGACAATGCAAGGTATTTAACATCTACCCAACAGGCACAAAGTTGGCAGTATGTTCAGTACTGTGTTCAGTACTGTTTTATTTAATATTTATTTCCTTAGCAGCATCAGATTGCTTCAGAACCAATGTTCACAACAGAAGATAAGAGATCACTGCCATTTCAGAGCAGCTCACAACACAAAGATTATAGGATTACATCAGTGCTCATCTTGGCAAAGACACTTTTTGCATCACTAAATAGGGATTTTTCACATTGGCATCCTCGTGCCAGCATTTCAGCCCGTGCACTTTTCATAACGAGTTTCTTTTTATAGTTTTATCCAGTTTTTGTCTCAATTATTTTCTTGTCCATTTTGAAGAGTATAAAGAAATAACAGGAGATACACACACATTTTATGAGAAGAGCATGGTACAAGAAAAAAGCACAGTGCAAGAAAAAAGATTGATCAGTGTAGATAGGATTCGTAAGAATTATCTTATTGAAAAATAAAGTTATAATTTGGTCTATCTTACAAGTATTTTCTACAAAAAACATCCCACAGAAAGAAAGGAAGTAATATTAGTTTCCATTTTTCTTGAAACTCCTTAACTTAAGCACATACCTTAAGACATGAGGTACCTCTCCAGGTTTCAACTACATGCCAAATTTCCTGAGAAAACATATTCTGGGTACTAATCTTATTTACCTTGAAAATTCACACTGCCAAGTATGTAAAACCATGAAATAATTCCTTAATTTTGAGTCTCTTTGGAAAACTTGTGTCATGTGTATTATATCCATTCACATATGGAGGTGGTCTCAAAAGTTATCTCATTATAAAGAAGACAATGTTTAGATTGAGCCCTGGAAACTGAAATTCTTGTTATTATACAGCAATGAAACCTATCTTTGAAAAAGAAGACTGAAGAATGCAAGTATTACTATTGTTAAAGGCTCTTTTGTCTTAGTGGTAAAATAAATATAGTGATTGTAGACTATTCATCAAGATATGTGATTTCATTTTTTAAACTAATTGTTACACACTTTCTTTTAGGTAAATCCTCAGAAAAAGTTAAACCTAGGCTTATCAGAATACATAGAGTTTGGCAGGTTCAAGGAAACCTCTAATTTATTTGGAAAAAATATAAATTATTTTGTCATTATTATGATATTCTGCAAAGTACAGCAGTATCCTAGGTATTAAGTGACTAAGTGTTGTTGAAAGGAAACAGAAACAGACAAGAGAAAAAAATATGTAAATGTCAACAAAATGAGTAAGAACAGATTACTCCTTTCCTACTTTGTAACACATTAATCATTTCTGGACCAGTCCATATTAGTTTTATCAGCTCTGACCCCCAGCTTCTCATCCAGTCCCCCTCTGCAGGCTGCCCACAGCCCAAGAGCAACATAAAGGCAACAACACACCAATAGCCCTCAGCACCAAGAGGCAAGAACAACCAAAGGCACGAGTGTGGTTATTGGTGGGCACCCCTCTTTGTACAGCGCCAGGTATTGTGCTGGAGCAACACACACCAGTCAAAAGAAGCCCCAAAAGCAGAGGGGACCAGTAAAGCCAGACCAGCTAGAGGACATCAGCTTGGTTTAGCACCAGCTTTTTCTTCAGAGCTTGCAAAAATCATGGAGAGTCTGTTCTCCAGCTGTATGGCCTGCAGCAGACTTTGATCAGTCATGAAGGTACAATCAGAAACTTTGACAGGCACTTCATTCTATCACTGTAATTCCTCTTCAACATCAATTAGCAAAAAACTCTGTAGGTTGCCTTTAGGGCACTCGAAGGCAAGAGCACACTGGCTTTGACCAGCACGGTAAAATCTAGTTGATTGATCACCCTAGAGGAACTGATGCTAAGAAACAATTATTCATCAGCAATTTACCTGCACAGAGGCATGCAATATCAACAGGTACCATTTCAGTCCACATTGAGGCATGGTATGAGTTTATTCTCAAAATTTGTAATAATACATTGCTGTTGTCATTATGAAATCCTGTGTGTAATTTGCATAAGGTCTAGTTCCTGCTATGGTTAATCCTTTTGGTACAGTTTGCTAAAAAATAATTCAGACCACTCCCTTCTTACAAACTACTTTAAATGCTTCCAAGAAGGAGTGAAATGATCACAGATTTTTGTGTGGTCTTTACAGAGGCAATCATCACCAAAAAAAAAAAAATGCAAAGAAGAAGGATTATCCCTTGTATTTTTCAGAAAAAAAGAAACCTGAAAACCTTACAAACACTTGAGACTTCCCAGTTACTTGGAAAATGCTATGGCATGTAAGGTGATCACTTCATCACAGGCATTGCTGCTGTTATTACCATAGCTCAGTTTTTATGGCACTGTGGCAATAGAATAGTTTCATCTGAGCCGATAAGGCACTAAAATTTAAGGATTAAAGGCTTGCATTTCAAAGATTAACATGAAGTTCACAAGCAGTATAAAAGTAGAGCAACTAGGGCTAATTACTGCATCTTCTTTAATAAAACTAGCAACTAGTTTTAACAAATTTCTGGACTGACATCAAAATATTTGATTTTAAAATATGTCTCAGCCTAAATAGATTGAAAACTTTTGGAAGTAAACTCTTGAAATTCCTTTTATTCTGATCCAGTATTTGGTCTCCTAGACTTCAGTTTAATCCAGATGCCTTTATTTGGACGAAGAATCAATTCTCCACATAAACCAAGCTCTTCTGGCTTTTGACACGATTCCACCCAAAAGCGACGCAGGATGAGGGCTAGAAGAGTCTTCTCCTCCATTTGTGCAAAGCGCTGACCTATGAGTTACAGGGCAGGAAAAAAATTAGTTATTGTCAAGTTGCATCAACAGCTGCTGCACTTGCATTCTCACAGGACTTAAGAACAGAACTAGCTTTAGGCCAAAATCAAGGTCATATGGATACAAGTTACACTAGCACTTTTCTCTGCATGAAAACTCTGGCCTTCTTGGGACAATCCACAGTCCGTCCTCCTTCCCATAGTACATAGAACTCAAACAGCAACATGTAGTACTTCCATATGAAGTCAACCCTTCATATGGAACTACTACAAAACACAGCGTAGTCACGTCTCTTGAAAGGACTGGGCAGGAGGGATGGATAGCAGACCAGAGCAGAAGATGCAGCACAGGCTCTGTGGGGAGAGAAAAATCTCACGATTCCATATATGTGGAGAGGAGCAAAGGCGATGCAACTGCAATGGAATGACAGACAGACCTTCCACTGATTCCTTCAGTGATCATTAAGCCTCACACACACTGATAATTTGGTAACACAGAGGGCAAAGTTCAATTTACAATCCAGAGACAGGTGAAGGCAGAAACATGAGAACAGAGAAACATGAGGGAAACCAAATCAAGTGGCACAAGGCAGTTCACAAAAACTAAAAAATGGAGATGGGACACAAAATACAGGGCTGAGAACTTTTTATGTTCTCCCCTTAGTATTATATACACAGAAGTCCGTACATATGTACACACTATGCACTTTTGCAATTATAGTAATTAACCACCTCTCCTGCACATGTTCCTGCACACTCAGGAACTAGCTAGACATGTTATATTAAATTAGATTAAATTAAATTTCTCTTTGGAACAAGGAAAGACTTAGTTTACTGCTCTCATGGAAAAGGGCACTTACTACCACTGAGACAAATCAAAACAAACCAATTGTATCTCCCAAAAACAGAAACCAAAACAAACAAACAAAACCAAAAAAACCAAAAGAAGTAATATTTCCCATTATCGTAACAGCATGACAACTTTTGGACATTCTGCATCTGCACTTAAAATCAGCGCAGGGAACAGTCTTTTCACATGTTCTACAATATAAACAACACTGCCTCTACTTGAAGCACAGATAAATGCCAAGCACCTCAACGGCATCTGAAAGTGCTGATGAGTTCTGGGATGACAGAGAAGACACCAAATCAACTACAGTGTCAGAAATAGGGAAAGAATACATCAGTTGCAGATTGCATGCTTTGGACATCCAGCTCAGAACCTGAGAGAGACAGATGAACTATTTCCAGAGCAAAACAGGTGTGGGACATGTGTCTTCTCTCATTCTGTGTTGCTGATACTGAGATCAGAAATTAGGAAGCAATCATGTCCTAACACAGGAGCCCAAAAACATGCTGCCAGGCTGCACAGCAGTGAGGAAGAAACATCAACAGGATAGACACTTGTCCCTAGGAAGAAAGGAAATGCCTCAGAAGAAACAAATGGGGTAGCTCAACAGCATTAATATGAGTCTATGAACTAAACTCTTCTGAGAGAATTCAGGTCTATCTAATGGAAGTGTGTGGCTTGCAGGACACACAGTGCCCAGATTCAGAGGTGGGGAATGAGGAAGAACACTATACAAACAGTACTCATTGCTGTCTCAGTTACCACATTCAAAAGCAGAACCTTACAAGGACTTCCTCTCCAGACACATACCAATGCAGTTCCTCGGACCAGCTGAGAAGGGCACATAAGCATATGGATGCCTTCCCTTAGAATTTTCAGGGAAGAATCGCTCAGGCCTGAACTCCTCCGGGTCAGGGAAGATCTCAGGGTCTCTATGCAGGGCATAAGTTAAAACGAGGACGTTTGCACCTCTTGGTATCTGATATCCTCCTAAAGAGAGGAGAGAAGGGGAGAAGAAGAGTCAAAACAAAAACCAACAAGTGACTTCCTATACACAACAGAACAGTAAAAAATAAAACAATGCTGTCCTTTTCTTGGGAAATATCTCCACTGCAGAAATGCTAACAGAAGAGAAAGTGGCAAAGACAGAACACCACTTACTAATGAAGCAATCCTCTCTCAAGGAACGAGCAAACATGGGAACTGAAGGGTAGAGACGAAGAGCTTCTTTCACAACACATTCAAGGTATCGAAGATTCTTCAAATCCTCCGTTGTAACAGGACGTTCAGTATTGTCTGTCCAAAAACAAACACAGGGATGACCAAGACCAAAACTCCCCGTCTTTGGCTAAACAAACTCATCCTGGATCTCCTCAGAAACTCTCATTATGCACCAAGACTACATACAAGAAGGTGTTACAAATATATTAAACATGCATATCTTGCCCCAAAGACTTAAGTTTGGTTGTACACCCAAACAGACCTTCCCACACCCATCCCAAGCACCTCTAACTGCTGAAAGCTCCAGAGGGGCCACAAGGCATGCTCTTAAATCCCCTTCTACTTCTAGGCTTTGAACACATTTCCACTCACAAATGCAGCATAACCCCAAAGAAGGGGGAATGGAGACTTACCAAACACCTCATCCAATTCCCTGTGAACCTTCTTCTGAACTTCTGGATTACGTCCAAGCAAGTACAAGACCCAGTTCATAGCAGCTGCTGTTGTATCATGGCCCTACAGGTCCAGATTTACAAAGACATTCATTTCAACTCTATTCCCATGTACCAGTGGGCTTTGTAAATACTTAGGTGTGCAGTTGGTATGAAAAGTGAGACTTATCAGTCCCATCACCATGATAAAAACATGAATCAAAAGTGAATGATTCAACTCACTATCAAGAAAAAAGGTGATCCACAATTGTTCTGACAAAAGGGGAAAGTTTTGAAACAACTCAAGCAAAATCCCTTCTCTTCTGATTCTCAGGAGCTGCATGAACTATCAATATCTACACAATGAATCAGATGTATATTCATCTTTTTGGTTACTGTCCAGTCAACATCTGTGGGGGCCAGTGACTGTCACAGGAGAGATACAATGGAGACAACTTGTAACCATTTCAAAAGTATCTAAAAATGGTTTTGTGAGACAAAATACAGAAGCCATAGAAGAAAATACTTTGTTTTCTATGGGGACGGAATCAACTACTAGTTCCCAGCACTGTTGGAAGGAGAGGAAAAGAAAGGAGACACAAAACATGAACCAAAGAAGGGGAGAAAAAAAAAAAAACATAAAAAAGGGAGGACCAGAAAAGGGAAAAGTTGACCAAAATAGAATCTTTATACTAAAAAAGCACACTTGTGGTGAAGTTCAGGATGCTACTGTAGTACAGAAATGGCAAGATGAGAAGGGAGTTTCTCTTGGTTACAACAGTATTAATAAGATGCTATGAATTAAGCTGTTCTGAGAGAATTCAGGTCCATCTAATGGAAGAAAACTTGTGGAAATCTTCAGATCCTCCCTTAGGGAATCAGACAAGAAGAAGAGCCTTGAAGATAATCAGAGGGATGGGACACATCTCCTATGAAGACAGGCTGAGAGAGTTGGAGTTTTTCAGCCTGGAGAAGACAAGGCTCTGGGAAGACCTGGTTGTGGCCTTTTAGTACTTAGAGAGGACTTACAGGACTTACACAAAAAAAAAAAAAAAAAAAAAAAAAAAAAAAAAAAAAAAAGAGGGAGTGTGACATTTTACATGAGCAGGTACTTATAGGAAAAGAGAGAATAATTGTAAACTAAAAGAGAAAAAAATAGATTAGATGTTAGGAAGAAATTTTTTACTCAGAGATTAGTGAAGAACATGCTGGCTAGAGAAGTTTTGAATGTCCTATCTCTCAAGGTGTTCAGGGACGGGTGGGATGGGGCCCTGGCAACCCACTCTAGTTGATGACATCCCTGACCATGGCAGGAGGGTTGTAATTAAACCATCTTTAAGGTCCCTCCCAACCCAAGCCATTCTAGGACAAGTTTCTACAAGATGAAGCATTGATGTACAGTGGACTACAGAACCAGAAGACTGCAGGCAATGTAGCAAGGGAAAAAATGTGAGGAGACATGAAAAAGTGCAAGTCAAAACAGTGAAACTATTTAGAGCTCTCTTCAGTGTTAATGAAGCTTGCAACAAAAGGCAAGAGCCCGTGGTCCATGTCAGCCTTAAGTTTTCATTTCTCTCCTGCTTTCATGAGTAGACCCTGCTCACACAGGCAGAGTCTACTACATGTGCATTGTCCAAAGTTTTTCCAGGGTATACCAAGGCTTCTATCCTACCCCTGTAGAATAGAAACATTGAGATATTCTCTTAGGCTTCCAGGGCTTAAATAACATCATGCTAAAAACAACAACCTGAACTAAGACAAGAGTCACCACCTGAAAATTCTGAATCTTGGGTTTGGAGGGAAAAAAACAAACAAAAAATCCCAGCAAATAAAACCTTCCAAAATAACAACAACAACAACAAAAGAACAATAAATCAATGGGTTCCTTGGTTACCTCAAACATGAAAGTATCCACTTCCTCACGAATGTCCCTGTAGCTCAATTTTTTCCCTTCATCATCTGTTGCATTCAGCAGCATGTCCAGGAATGCTTTTCTCTTTTTGGAACCACTTTCTTCAGAGTTACCATCATTATCATGTTTCTTTTGCTGGGTGTTTTTAAGTTCTTCAGCTTTTTCTGCAATGACCTGAGATTAGAACCATTGCATCAGATGTGATGAATTCAGCACAAGCACACTGTCTGCCTCATACAGTTTTGTCCTAACTTATCAAAACAACATCCATCTGTAGCACTCTACATGAGCTAGTTAGCTCAGCTGTCAGCATTAGGTCATGAAATTTAACCGACTTTTTCTTAGTAGTGAATTATGACCAACCTTTCTTGCCCCAAGCAAAAGAATAAACCTTGAACAGCCTTTGTGCAATCAAGAAAACAGCCAAGCTACATAAACAACTTGGGGGCCATCAAGAAGTGTAAACATAGCCAGAGTATCTGGAACACACCAATAATGAATGCCAACAGTGGTAACAGCATATCAAAAAAATCAACACAGTGTGATCACCAATAAGATCTTCTCTATCCCATCTGAGAACTAAGGAAGGATCTCACTTCCAACCTCCAAAAAACTCAGAAAACTGAAGAGAAGCCAGGGGATCCCAGAACCATGTGTCAAGGCTACACACAGTATTGCCGAACCCACTACACTAAAGCTTCCCAAATTTTCCCAAGTATGAGAGCAATGGCTGAATTTCCCTTTTTTAGGCCAAAGTACAGACCCAGTAACAGACATAAATTTCTTATTGTTGCCATTGTTGTTGCAAATTCAAAACAGAACCCTTCAATAAACTCGCATTGCTCTTAAAAACAACAAAATAATTTAAAAGGGTGTAGAGTATGCATTTCTGTTTGGAGGAATCACTGAATGGCAGAAAAATCGTACAGTTCCATGCACACACATTGTTTTCCTCATTTAACATGCATGTGTGTCACATATTGACTAATCCTTCACCTCAGTGCTTGCTCTCAGCACCTACACAGATGCAATTATTATTTATGGTCCTTTGTCATCTTCTATGATTTGGTTGTTTATATTCTTCAGTGCACCAGCCCAGCATGGGAAGAGTACAAGTGTTAAGAGCCTCTCTCATGACTCACTGCTGCAATTTCCAATAAAAGGCAGCAAGAAAAAAACCCACAATGTGGCTCATTATATGTAGCCAAAGATCAAAGATTATTTCCTTTGTCAAAGACATTGATACAATGACATCATAGGGTACATGCATTGGGAAAGCAGCCTCTCTGATACCATCAGAGATACCATCAGATACTTATTAGAAGAGATTTGGGAGGACAAACTTTGGTAAGAATAATGTAGGAATTATTTGGGGAGATAAAGGGCTGTTACTTCCACAGTCTAACAAGGTGAGAAAACACTTTATTTTATGCCAAGTGAGTAATGCATGCCTAATGATTTCTGTATCAGAATGCCTCATTGCTGATGTGAGGACCAGCATGTGTTTGCTCCTCTCAGCAGTTCTGTTCTGAATAGGTGAAAATGAACACAGGCTTCAGTTTCTGAGGGCTGAAACCAGTGGCACTACCATGCAGATCCCTATGTTTACTGCTCCAAACTTGGAAGTGAGTTGTTGGACATCATCCAGATGTTGAGCTTTTCAGGCAGAACAAGAGTTCAATGAATTTCTGCTGTTTGTTTCAGTTTTCAAGGACCTGCAAGTTCTGCCACTCCCCTGGAGTAGTCTACTTTGTTGTTTAAATTCAGCAGAGATACTAAAAGGGAAGTCAGCTCTTGTCTTCTTTTCAGGGAATTCCTCAGCATCACAATAGAGAGACAGCATATCAAGGACGCTGAACCTTATCCCCATTTGGAAGATCTGTGTGAAAAACTTTAATCCAACAATGAAAATTATCATTATAAATATTATAAATAATATTTTCTTTCAAAGACTCTGTACCATATCTGTAAAATTGTGAAGGATGTTGAGCTTCCTATTGTGCTCTCTTCCTACTTTGAACAACACATACAAAAAGTCAGGCCAAAGCCAAGGGCTCATCTGTCGCCGTTGGATTAGATCACCCATCCTAGGGACAAAACAAGTATATCATGTAACATTACTTGACAAAAACACCAAATTATAGCACATTTCAAGAACAAACAAACAAACAAAAAAACAAAAAAAAAAAAAAAAACAAAAAAAAAACTTCTATGTATCCTAATGAAGTAGAACTTAACATATTGTGTAGGTTTAAACCCATTATTTGAAAGGAAGGCCGTTCACATTTGTGTCTTGATTTTACACCATCTCAAAATTTCTGTTTACTTATCCCAGCCTCACCATGTTTTATTTCTTTAAGTATTGATATCTGAGAAGGACAGCATATTCTCATTTAGTCCAAATCCTCTTGAAACAGTCCTATTAAGTCATCCAATCCCATCACACCCCACTTCAGCAAAGCATTGACAGTCTTGTAAAGACTACTCAGGCCAGGCTCCCAAAATATCTGCCCCAAGAGCTCAAACAGTTTCTGAGAGCATTGCGTTCCTACTTGAACGTCCAGACACCCGACTGCAAATTAAAGGACTTAAAATGTATTTAAAATTAAAAATATGAGACTTCAAGTATGCTCAAACACAAGTAGAGTACATTTGGAAGGGCTGATTGTTATTGCAATTCAGCTCTTGCACATGCTTTAGCTGCAGAGTAATTATTATTGACTTCAAGCACACTTGTGCTACAATTTGGAAAAGGCCAAGGAACTGATGATAATCAAGCCTTTCAGACCTATCCCTGTTTTTTATCATACCTGTCTCAACAAGCTCCATCAAAAGTTAAGAGTGAGATCATAGAATCACAGATTCATTTATGTTTGAAAAGACCTTGTAGATCGAGTCCAACTGTTAGCCTACTGTTAACCCAGTCCATTGCTACACCCTATGTGCTGCAGGAACATGTCTTATCAAACACCTCCAGGGTATTTAGTGACTCAGGGTTAGTCTCTTCCAATGCTTTACATCCCTCCTTCTGACTCTCTGGCCTTCCTTCCTGACACCAGCAGCATTAATTCCAGCTAAACTGAAAAATAAGGAAAATGTGCATTTACCTGTAGATAGCAGAAACATAGTCAGAATCCTTATTCTTCTGGGCACCCACATTCCTGCCCATTGCTGTTTCTAGGATGAAAACATCAACATTTCACAAGTACAAAAGTACAAAGTGAAATGCAGTATAGACAGTGAGTTACTACTACTCCCAGCTTCTGACTATCACCACCATCCCTTTGACAAGTGAATACACATATCCCTTTGCAGGGAATTAGCTTTCTTTGTATTTCCATGACCAGGAATCCTGCTCCTCAAGAAAACCTCACTTCAGACTGCCACCTCTGTCCTGCCAGTGCCAAAACTCAGCTGCTCAGTTGCAAGTAGTAAATCCTGGGGAAAAGGTTGGCAAAGATGGAAATGTGTTGAGAAAATATGCAGGGACATTGCTCTTCAATTATGTTACACAAACTGGCACCACTAAACTCATGATCTTCTGCATCATTCACAATTCTACCACAATAACTGAACAAGACTTACCACAAATAATATCAAGGGCACACAGAGTGATGTCCATGAACACATTAAATGGCTCCTTGTCAACATGCTTCTCAAGTTTCTTCACCAAAATATTTCCTTGCTCATTCATGACCTCTAGAAAGTCACTCAAGATTGAAAAGTGGAATGTGGGAGTTATCATCTTCCTCCGTGACCGCCACTTGTCTCCAGTGCTATAAAATTAATAGGGAGAAGGAAGGCTAAAACACTCCAAGCCAAAAATAATATCCTTACCATTACAGGAAGTACCCAGTGAATACTGCAGCCTGGAAGAGATGGACACACTGTAGATGTCTCTTCAAGCTGTTCATAGCACCCCACAGAAGGAGCAAATGGAAATATTTCTTGCTCTAGGTCTCTTGGAAGCAGAATCCACCATTTCTCCAGCTGATCTTAACCAGTGGAGATGCCAAAAAGCCTCCAGACAGTACATCTTTGTTAGTCAGTGCACAGGCCCAGAGGGACCAAGCAGAAGCCAGCCAGAGGCCAAACCAGCTATTCAGCATCAAGTCTCAACCACCCCACCCTCTCTCTGAATCAGTGGTTGTGCTTGCCTCCATCCACTGACCATGAAATGAGGCCTGCAGAGAACTAGGGCCTAGAGATATCATGAAAATGACTGCCTCAAGGCATGGCTACAGTCTACTTCCTTGGAGAAAGGCAATCACTTCCCACATGCCGGTGACAAGCATGGAGCCACAGTGAGTGTCACCAGCTTCCTGGGGGTCCCTGTTCGCTTTTTCTAAATAACATGCCCTAGCTGGCACTTCTGCTTACAGGGTAAAACTATCACACCACTGCCCCTGTTAATTGCTATTAGGGCACACCACAGGCCAGCATATTGGCTTGCTGTCTGCCACTGCTGCCCCTAATCAGCAGAGACTGGAACATTTTCCTCCATTATGTTTGTGCAAGCACAAGAAAGTCAAAATACTTCTGTACATCTATGGAAGACAAAACAACCAGTAAGGAAGAACAGTGAGGATACACCATGCCTGATGTTCATGGACTTCACCTCTGCACTCTGCTACTGATTAATTACTGCCTTCTTACAGGCCATGAACAAAACTCAGGATAAAATGCATGCCTTGTCCTGTTCCATGAACTTGTACTTCCCACACCACATGATCACACCTGGCTTTTACAATACCATGGTCCCATCATAAAGCATGAGGAGTCCACATTTGAGGGCTCCAAACAAGCAACAACGTTAACCACTAACACTGGGACCTGGACCTTTTTTCAAAAACCCAGAAGGGGCTCAAAAGTACCAAAGACAATCTATACTTACCTTGCTCTGACTCTTGAATATCTGCATCATCCAGACCAATCCTTCCTTTCCCATTCCAAGACTGGAGGACACCAAACCCTTATACCGCTGCTCCTTCCTTTCTCCACTCCTGATTTATGCTCCTACCCAGGCTCATTTCTCACAATTCTCTACTTCATGAATGAAATAAAGGAAAGGGTGCACATACTCTCCGATCCTACCCCAAAGCATCACCAACCTCAGGCCTATCCTCCTGGTCTGCAACATGACCAGCTGAGATAAGCAATGCACACAATCTCTTTGTTCAGAAATACATACAGCATTCCTGCCATCAAGACCTCTTGTTATCATATACCCTGCAAATTTCAAAAAGGTAGCAGTGCACCTTCACTTCATTTTACATTATACCTTGTCAGAAGTCCAGTGCCCAGCCATGGATGTAGGAATTTGTATAGGTATGATTTTTCTATATGTTTTGAATTGTTCAGAATAGCCTGTCAGAAAAATTAACAGTGAGAAAAAAATATTACTTGTTAGATAGAGATTTCTTCACTATTTCTTCAATAAACACTCCAACGGACAAACAACACTGTCTTACTAGATCACGGACAATCACTGTCGGCAGCAAAACTTATGACTACATTTCATGGCATCAAAACAGACCCACTAAGTTTTAATGCAGAAGTCTGTCAAAGAGACACAAGCATTGCAACCTGAATTTCATAATGTTCTATCCTTATTTCAGTGGTCCCATATTCCCTGCAATCTGCTTGTTTGTTCCAATCTTGGGAGTAGAAGCTTTCACACATGTGAAAACCAAGCTAAAGGAGATGCTTTTTTGATGCTTTCATTTGCAGGTCATGTTCAGTATTCCCCCCAATGCCCTATGACTATGCTTTTTTATATTCCTTTACTTTATGCCTTTGTTTACCACTAACTCAGAGGACTATCCCAAAGCAAATCAGTCCAAGCCCCTTTTAATAAAAATTACATTGAGTAATAGAAGTAACATGTTGGGCACTGCTCTGCATCCCAGTAGAATACACAGGAGACCAGCATACTCACCTCCACACTGTCAGGGTGATACAAAAATATGACAGGCACTGGTCCTATCCAAAGTTTGAACAGTGGCCAACTTCTGAACTTTTCACTATAAAACTCTATCTGTTTAAAAAAATCTGGAATAGAAAATCAGAGTAGAGCTTCAACAAGGGGAATTTACAAAATAAGCAAGGCTTCTGTAATGAACTCCAGCACCCCAAGCCCTGCAATTGTGATTTTCTTGTAGTTTTAACCTGCTGCTGTGATCTGGCAGCATATTTTACACCTGTGGATTTTAAAATTCAGGTATCCTAATCTCTTCAGGCACAGAAGAGCACCATTTATGCCACAGATCAACCTGAGGGACACCACTGCTGTCCAGCTGCCAGTTGAACTTCACACCAGTGAGCTCAGCAAACCAGCAAATACTCCTCCCACATTCTTTTGCAATTATCCAGTCCATATCTTGTACATTCAGCTATAGAGAAAGCATGGGAGACAGCTGAATCTGTTGGCAGGGTAAGAAGAGTCAATGGTGTTTGATTTAATTCAAAAAAGTCTTTGACACTATCTCATCATAGAGGACAATCAGGTTCATTCCACAATATTAGAGTGGGGACTACTCTCAGGATATTCAAGGATTAAACACTTTGCCCTTTCAGAAACAAGCTTAAACAAATGATACCTTTACAAGCCTCCGCAGAGTTGAAAATTCAAAGGTCCCCAAATCAAAGAAAAAAAAGAAAAATAAAAGGATAGTTTCCTAATAGATGCCCAAATACAGCTTTCCCTAGACTTACAAAAAGTTCTAATGACACCTCATTCAACACGATTCAGTGTCAGATTATTTTACTATTTTTAAAATATTTTTCCAAACATTGCTGTGATTAAAATAGCCCATCTTCCAGCAACTGTCTAGCAATTCCAATTAAAAAAATCTTCATCATATGAAAAGCTATTTTCATCCCTGTTATAGAACACTACCCTTTTTAAAAGTTTTTTTATATATTTTTAATAAAAATTATTATAAACCACAAATTTTACCCATTTTTACATAAATAAACAAGAACAAAGAAGGCTGGACATGGGAGCTATGTGATTCCTTAACTAAAACAAGGGAGCTATGCGGTTTCTGCTAACAAATGAGATTAGGGACTACACAGAACATCAGAGTTCATATCAAATTGCTGGAGACAGAAGCAATGTTCCAGTTTGCTTTGGGTTTTTAAAGATTTTTTTAAAAAGAGGATAAGAAAGAAAAAAAATAAAAGATTAATCTCTCAGTCCAGCTCATATAAATATCCTATCATCCTCCTACTGCTTCCCCAAAGTCAACTTTGCGGAAATCTGCCTGCCCTCACATCCACCGCAGTTGTCTCATATTTGTCCTTAGATGTGGGACTGGACCCAGAGGAAAGATATGACAGTGTGCCTTGTGAACAGAGGCACCGTGTCTCAGCATGGGCCAGCACTGGGCAATTTGTGTTCCACTGCTGTACTCTCATTTGACTTCACCATGCTCCCATGACCCATTGGTCTCTCTTCCGGCAGCATACACAGCAGCACAGCCAGCAACACATGCACAGAGCAGAACTGGCATACACAGGCATCACAAACACACACAGAGGAGTGTGGCAGCAGACTCAGCAACACTTCCATACCACAAACTCCTTAAGAAATATGTTCCTGTTAAAATATGAGTACCAAATGGAAAAGGAACATCCAGCACATTAGTGCTCTCTCATGTGCCAGGCAAAAAGAAGGTCCCATTAATCAGTTCAAGAACAAAAGGATTTGCTTTTGCGTGATGCACCATAAATGCTCAGCAAGTTCTTTCAGACTCAACACATAAATCTAAGATACAGATGATTTGGGAAGCGAGCCCAGGTAAAAACAATTTGGCATGCTAAAGTCCCTTGCACATGTTTGCTTGGGGGAAGGTAATTGTTTCAAGCTTTGTCTGGATCACATCCAAAAAAGTCATGAGAACATAGCGTTCAACTTTGTGAAGCAGCATTTCCTGCAAGAGCCCACAGCACACTGCCCTCTCACTCAAACACATTCCACAGTGCTCATGCTCCGCCCTACCAACAACTTAACAGTCTGAGCCCAGCAGCAGCTGCTGTCAGACTTAACCTCCAGTTAGTCTTTGAGACCAATAATAATGCCACATTTATGCAGTTCCTCTCCTTTCCTCTTCACTACCCACTCCTCACACTGTTCACCTCTGCACATTGCCCAGAGAGACCAAAAGGCAATAGCACATCCTCTGATACCCCACTCTGCTTCCACAGCTCAGCCACAAAAGCCCCTCACCACCACTGGCTCCTCCAGCAAAGCCCAGGCAGTGCAGGGACCTCACAGGTCTGGGCTACAGTGTGAGCTGGCATTACCTTCTCCTTTCCGCTCGAAGAGCAGGGCATTTCCCAGCACAGGATAGCAGGGGCTGGCACCCGGGATGGACTTCAGCATCCACCATTGCCTCCAGTATTCCATCAGGGAGGGCAGGGAGCACACAGTCACTATTGTCACAAGCAGAGCAATGATGCCAGCTCCCCATGGCAGCAGCTGGGGTCTCCCTGAGAGTTCTTCCACGACATCCATCATCACCTCTCAGCCTCCTGCCCTGAGCCTTGATCCCTGCTGCGAAACTGGCGCTGCCTGTACTCGGCACTGCAGAAAAGTTGGCCAGAAGAGCAGGAGGCGGAGCCACCCCACAAGCCACTGGCGTAGCTTCTTGCCAAGAAAATAAACAGAGTTGAAAGACACTCTTACGGAGACGCTGCATTCTAGCATTTCCTGGTGGCAGGCAAGCCAGAGGGAACAGTCGGTTCGAGCCAAGTGATGAGCGAGAACCTTCTTTGCAGGCCATGCAATACCTCACAAGATAAAAACAAAGTACCATCAAGAGAAAAAACACCTTTTTGCTGATTTGGGATAGATGAGTTTTCTCAATATCATCTTTCTCAATCTGTTCTCAGGTGCTCAACACCATTTTGCCATAGAGAACTGCTCCAGTGCTGTCCAACATAACTAAAGGGCCAGATAGAGAATACCCTTTTTCAGCTGGTTTGATGGCTTCAAAGGGTTACAAAAACCAAAGCCCATAAAGACCCTGATCAACAGCAGCACCTCAAAGCATACTGATGCTTCTCAGCTCAAATGGCCTTTACTGATCTCATTGTTGAATGCTCAGGCAGGCACAGGCTAAAAGGTACCAGTAAAACAACTGGCAGCACCAGCACCCGTGCCCCAACTTGCAAAGTGCCTGGGTACTCACAGTACCAAACCCACCATATACACTACTGTCCCTCCCGCCTCAGGAGGATCCAGGGTCTCTTCTCACTGCTGCAGGGCTACTCAGCATCTGTTTCTCAAAGTGGGTGCTCAGAAACCTTTTGGTCAAACAGAATTTTGGTAGAGGCAGCATGGTTCACAGCCAATTCACAAAACTTCACCCTCAAAATAAAGCACAAATGGTATGTGTGTATGGCCATAGTCACATTTATCCTCTTCGCTTTGTACCAAAAATGACTGCACTGACTGCAAAAGCATTTTTAGCAAATCAACAAATAGCATAAACAAAACAACTAAGATAAAAACTAACAGAAAACTCAGAACATCAGAAGTTAAGTAAGCTTCTGTGACCCTTGGCATCAGAGGAGAGTAAATTTTGGCACTTTGTTCTTGCAATCTCCCAGCAGAGACTTTATCATAAACGCTGACTGCTATATCTTTCTGCACAGTAAACAGCTGGAAATGAACTTTGTTACCCTTGCTGTTATTTGTAATGGTTTGTGACAGAAAGCAGCAGATATCTGCCCAGTCTTGCAAACACATAGGCAAGTTAGACAACCATCAGTCCCATCTTTTGTTCAGGTGACAGCCTAGGAAGGAAGCAAGCACACAGGACAAAGAGACTCGCCTTTTGTATTTCTAACACAGAGATCAGCTGAATAATTATACTCTCATATTTACAAAAAGTCTTGCAGTTTGTTGCCTTAAATTTGCCCTAAATGCACCAATAATTAGATTAAGTGACTATCTGTGCTTCTGAGTCAAAAATCTGCTTCTAACTGCTGATTACTCCTTCTACAGGAAAAACAAAAAACCCAAACACCAAAAACCAAAAAAATCCTGTGAAACAGCAAGAAGGTGGAAAGGCATTGGGAAAGCAGTAGGGAACACTGCAAAGCAAACATTGCAGCATCCTGCCAGCAGCTGGCAACAGTGATGATGTTAATAAAAACCAGCAGAAACACCGGAATGAGACATAAAAGATATATACCCAACAAACAAGAAATGAGAGGTCTAGCATCTTTGAGGCCTAATTATGTCACCAAGACCTGGAATCATAACAAAACTTGGAGGATGTTCTGTAGGAAATAAGTTTTCTACCAGATTGTGATCAGCATTTCCTTTTTACCCTGGGAACTATTGTTCAGTGTTGGATTTCTGTGAGCACTCCACTGGTTAGTGAATCTTTGTTTTTATAAATGCTTGTAACAGTGCAAACCTTCTCTTCTTCAGCCTCTTGCCTAAGTGGAAGCCAATCTACCTGTGCTGGCAGAAGACAAGCAACTTGTTAGGCAGCTGTGTCAGCCATGAAACACAATGACAACACAGGCTTCTGCTGGTCCCTAGAATGAAGCCTGGATTCTTCAATAAGAAAAACTAATAAAATCATCATTAGCAGCAAGAAAAAAACCAAAACAAAACAAAATCAAAGCAAATCAAGTCTAAAGCGGATCTGATACAACAGAGGGGGGGTTCCTGCTGGCTGCACTCTGGATCCACTGCAGAACATAGCTGAGCTCAGCAGCCAAGCTGAAGTACAAGCTGAATAGATCAGCAGACAAGCTGTACAGAAAAGTACACAACCCATTCTGAAAAATTGTTTTTTTCTTAAGGCTTTCTTAGCAAGAGCTTTTCTCTTTCTAAACACACACCATTGCAACATGATTAACCCTTATGCAGAAAGCTACTCTAAAATAAAGAGGCTATATGTAGACATCAATAGCCATCACCTAGACAAAGAAAACGTAACACAGTATGTCTCCATTTCAAAATATGTCATCAGCTGGACAGGTGGAGAGCTCAGAGATCTCCCCAGTTCTCAGAGAGGAATTTTAGGACCTGATACTAAATTTCATGCCCAAACAAGGCTACTAAAGGTTCACACCCGAAGTTTAGTCTTCCAAGAACAAATCCTGAGGAAGACTCCAGCTTCAAATCCTTCTGTGGGCGCTTTCTCACACAGGTAAAGGACATTAACAGCATTTGTGACAGAGACCACAGCTGTTTTTCAGAGACACTGATTGGTTTGATGCCACCTCCATCAAGCATACCTTGCTTGGTTTCTGCAATCTAGGGTTCACTGTACAGCAGCAATTGTTTTGCTCCTTCACTACAAGACATTTTACATGAATGAATTATCCGTAACAGAATACAAAAGCCTGCCCGCTAAGAAATCATAATCTTCCCTATCAGGATAAAATTGTGACTTGCAATAACAGAGACCACCACTCATGCCCCAGAACATGGACTACTGTTTCACAGCAATTCTGATAAGGTGCTAGTTGTGTTTGCATAACTAATAGACAACATTAAGTAGCTACCAAAGCACCACACCTGTGTTTATTTATCAATGTTTCCAGGAAAGGACACACTCCCAAGCTGGATGATCACAACTCCTCCAAGGTCACAATTGAAGATTCCGCCCACTTCTCTGTGATTTGGCTAGATTGTACAGGGCCTCCCTTGCTAAACTCCAGCAAGTTTAAAGAAAGCATGTAGCAGCATGAAACACACTACATGAAGTGAGCCAGAAGTCATGAAGAATGAATAAACAGGGCAGTTTAAGGCTAGGAAAAACTTGTGGGGCACAGAAGCACAGCACTGCAAATCTGCTACCTGCATTCTTGCAGCATGGAAGATTTGGTATCAGTATTTGCTCTAGGAAGTTCTTTGTCCAAATTTCATGTGCATGCACATAACACAGTCATAGCTGTACATCCTCTTAGAAGCTGATGTGGGTTAGCCTTGGCCAGCAGTCAGACCTCCCATTCACTCCTCTCCCTCAACAGGACACAAAAGCTTATGAGCCAAAATAGACTGAAAGATTGCTTATTGGTTACCATCTTGGGCAAAACAGAGCCAAATTTGGAAATTCAATTTAATTTACAGGCAGTTAAAAACAGATAATGAGGAAGCTAAAAACAAAGACAAAAGTTCCTGTCTGCTGCTCCCTCCTCATTCTTTTCTTCTGCTCCAGCACAGTTTCTCCACATGCTGCTGAGGAATCTCTGCTCTGGAACCTGGACCATTCCCTCCTCCCCCTTCAGAGCTTGGTGTTTGCATTGCTGTTTCTCTCTCTTTTCCCTCCCCACACTTCTCTTAGTTTTTTTTGTACACTTGTAAATACTTTTTCACTGAAGTGCCACTGGTTTGGCTGCTTAGCTCAGCTCTGTCCTGCAGTGGATCCAGAGTGGAGCCAGCAGGAACTGTGTTCTCCTCTCTAGCCTTTTCTCAGAGAGGCCACCCCAGTAGCAGCCCTGCTACTGACACCATGACATCTTCACTCAGCTGAAAAGCCTACCATGAAAACAATCACAAGATTGAAAGGGAAAATAGGGGTGAAATATTCTTCACATCAGCCCCTAGTGAAACCAGAAATGTCAGTTACAAAGTGATGGATGCATGAAAACTGTCAACAACATTAAATATTTGGGAACTATACAGGTACTTTTCCTTATAATGTTCAGGGAAGAATCACTCAGGACTAAACTCCTCCAGGTCAGGGAAAATCTCGGTAGGGCACAAGTTATACCAGGAATATTTGTACCATTCAATATTTGATATCCTTCACCTAGGAGAAAAGGGAAAGGAAGAAGGATCAAAACAGCAAATAGGTGGCTATCTATAACTGCTTTACCATAAAATAAAAAAGAGAAAAAACCCTTCCCTTTAACTGTAAAACTTTCTAAGTACTCTCCCCCACAGACATTGCAGCACCCATTCCAGCCACTTCTGGCTACTTAAAACGCTAGAATGGCCCCACGGTGCATTCCTATCTCAACTTCTTCAATCTTGATAAAGGAGGAATGGAAAACTTACCAAACACCTTGTCACAGTTCTCTGTGCATCTTCTGGGTTTCAGGATTACATCCAAGTAAGCATAAGGCCATGGCGAGTGTGTGCAGAGATGAAGTTAGAAAAGGAAAACCTCAGCTCAAATGGAAATTTGTGAGATGTCAAAAACTACAAGAGTTCTGCAAGTACTATCATGGCTTAGACCATGACAAAGTACCATGCATACACCCCATCCCAGTGGAACAGAGCAGAGTATCAGGGAAAAAAATAAAACCTATGGGTGGAGATAAGAAAAGTTTAATGATTTAAATATAATAAAGTAAAATGAAAACAGGAAAATAAGAGAGAGGAACAAAACCTAAGAAACACAAGCAATTACACAAAACAATTCCTTACCACCACTGACCTCAGTGCAGCCCCAAGCAGCAACAGGTCCCTTCCAACCACCCCCCACCCCAGTTCATGTACTGAGCAGGGCCTTCTGTGGTATGGAATATCCCTTTGACCAGCTGGGGTCAGCTGTCCTGACCATGCCCTCCCACAGCTTCTTGTGGAGCCTCTCACTGGCAGAGCATGGAGCACTGAAAAGTCTTTGCTGTTGGGCAAACACAACTTAGCAAGAACTAAAACATTACGGTGTAATCAACATTATTCTCATACCAATTTAAAACAGAGCATTGTGCCAGGTACAAGGATGAAAATAAATTCTATGCCAGGTGAAACCAGGATAGGTATGTAAACAAGAGGAAACCGAAGGAAAGTATTTTCCTGCTGTTTAACAAGAGAGATTAATTAGTCACCAACAAGGCTGAAAAGGCACAGGTACTCAACACTTTCTTCATCCTTGTCCTTCTATCAGCTTCACGTCTTGTGAAAAAATCCTGGCTGATGCAAACACAGACCCAGTATCTGTGAAGGAATGGTTGGTGTGTGAGCTATTAAAGGAGCTTGACCTCTACACATCAATGTGCTCTGACAGTATCCAACCAAGGAAAGTTGGCCCATATAGCTGTGGGGGCACTCTCCATAATTTTTGAGTTGTGGTATTTGGGGGACATCCAAGAAGACTAAAAGAAGGCTAATGTCACTCCTGTCTACGAGGACTTTAGAGAGGACTCAGAAAACTATAGGCCCATCTGTATTACTTCATTCTCTGGGAAACCTATGGAAAAAATTTTCCTGGGCGCTGTTACAAGTCAAATGGAGTCCATGATTAGGAAAAGCCAGCAGAGATTGACCAAGGACACATTTTGCTTAACAAACCTGATTGCCTCTTACAACAAATGAACCTGCTTGGCTGATGTGGAGCCTGCAGGAATGTTGTCTACCTGGGTATCTCCCAGGCTTTTGATATGGTTTCCCATGGCCTCCTCCTACAGAAATGCGTATGTGATGGTGTGGATCTGTGATCCATGCAGTGGGCTGGAAACTGGCTGCCCAGCCACACCTGGAGGGTGGTGGGAAATTGTTCCCTCTCACCCTGGCAACTGCCACAAGTGGAGTCCCTCAGGGAACAACACTGGGCCCAAGGCTGTTAGTATCATCATCAGTGGTTGGGATTACGGGATCAGCTTCATGTACTCAGATGAAGTTTGTCAGTGATACCAACTGAGTGGGGCAGTGGACACTTTGGAAGCGAGAGCCAGCCTGCAGGAAAACCTGGACAGGCTAAAAAATTAGGCTAACAAGAGCCTTATGAAGTTCAGTAAGGACAAATATAAGGTCCTGCACATGGAAAAACATAATCCAGGAGAGAAGCACAGCCTGGGGATCTACCTGGCTAAGGAAAAGCTCGATGGACAAGCATCTGAGGGTCCTGGTGGACAAGCAGTTCAGTGTGAGTGAACAGTTTGTTGCTGTAGCAAAGAAAGCCAATACAAGACTTGGCTGCATCAATGCCAGGAGAAATAAAGTAACTATGCCATTCTACTCAGTTCTGGTCAGGCCACATCTGAATATTGTGTTCAGTTTTGGTCCCTGCTATACAAAAAAGATGTGGACAGGGTGGAGAAGGTGCAGTAAAGGACAATAAAGATGACCAAATTACTGGGTAGCCTGTCACATGAGGAAAGGCTGAGAAAACTGGACTTTTCCTGCTGGGAGAAAATAAGCTTAGGCACACCTTATTACTGTGTTCCTGTATTTAAAGGGTGTCTACTAATAAGTTGGAGATTCCCTTTTCATAAGGAGTCTTATGGAAAAGTGAGGAGTGATATGTGAAAGTTACACTTGGGAAGATTCCAACTGGACACAAGACAAAACTTTCCACAAGGAGAATAATCCATTATGTGGCAAGTGGTGGATTCCCCAGCATTGGAGACTTAAGATTCGGCAGGGACAGGGTGATGGTGACTCATCCAGACTGTGCTTTCACCAGCAAGGACTGGACCAGATGATCCTTGAGGTCCCTTCCAACCTGGAATGAGTCTACAACGATTATCAGGATGTAAGATGACCAGTGATTGTCAGGTGCCCAAAGACTGACCAAAAGGGAGAAATGTTAATATACTTCTGGTAGATAGTAACATCCCTCTTCCTCTCTCTCACCACCTGAGAGCAATCCATTGCTGCTCTAGTAATTAGCAAATCTCTCTTTTTAAGCCACAGAAGCTTATTGTTCTGCTCTTCTCTTCATTTGTACAAGAAATCACAAAAAGTGAGAATGGTCCTACAGATTTGTCAGCATGTGGTTCAATTGCTCAGCATCTATAAATGCTTGGCTCGGCAGGAAAAATATTACTTGTTGTAAACAAGTTTATCCAAGCAGTTCCCATGGTTACTGATGATCAGAACAGCAATAAATGAGATTCTGAAAGAATTAAAGGAAGAAAAAAAGGCTGGTACAGATAATACTTGTAAGAGATAAAATATTATAATAATAAGCAGACAGACTGAAAAATGGAGAAATGTTAAAACAACAGTTAAAGAGGAAGTACTGCAAACTTCTGTTTAAAAGTATAAATTTTATATATGACTAATATTTAGATAGACTAGAACATCTTGAAGGAAACAAAAAAGTGGGAACAGCACATTATATTCTAAAAGTATCTTATTTGATAGGTAGAAAAACAATTCACTAGGAAAGGCATAAAAAAGGAGGAATGCCTGAGAAGAAAGTGCAGCCACAGTCTCTTGATACTGCAGAGCAGACACCTCAACCATTTATTTCCTTTTGCTATAATTTTTAATCTAAGCTCTGGTCAAATAATTTTAAAGAAGGCAATGCAGACATCCTGAGGACTGCAAGGCTCAGCAGACACCAGCATATGCACACCTTCTTTGTTACACAAGATACTAAGTGGCAAATTTAGTGCTTCAGTCTTTCAATCAGTGCAGAGGGTTTCTGTTTCTTCCTAAAACAGGCTAAGAAGCAATCTGAAATCTCTTCTTTGAGTTTGGAGGATTTTTCTGAAAGGATCTGGAGTAATTCTGTGAACCTGGAAAATATAAAACATTGCTAATTGTTGTAGTTTCTGAAAGACACTCCAAGATTATATATTAATTATTTCCACTATATATTAATTACTTCCACCAATGTGCTCAGATCAATATTTGCTAATCTGCCCTTATTCTTACATCACCTGTTATATAATTTTGTCAATGATATAATTATTTAAACTCAAGGAACTTCCAAACAAGTAAAGATTACTTATAAGAACTCAAATACACCAGGAACCTAGATAGTCAGCTTTATTGTAAAAATAAAACAAAATGAGCGTTGCCCTCCTTTTTGGGGTTGTAAATTCAAGACAGAGATGCAAATCAATACTAATTTGTTTTTTATGAGAGCTTTATATTTTTATTTAAAATGTACATTTTCAAATCTACTTTTCCTACACAAAAGAAGTTTATTAATTTCAGACCTAAAATAAAATTTGTAATTAGCAGTTCACCAGCATGCAAGTGTGGTACTACTGCAGAAGCTGCAAAAATATCTTGCCAGTATACCACATACTCTTGCTATAGTTGTAGATATGGCAAAATGCTGGAAAAAAAAAAAAAAAAGATGAGATTATGAGACTGAATCTTTTTCCTCTTCCTTTTCCCTTTCATGTCATAACAAGAAAAAGAAGATTCAAAGGATTCCTACCCATAAGAGTTAGGACTACCTCAGAACAAATGAGAAGCAACTTCAGAACCAAACTCAAAAGATCCTGCCAAGAAAACCTGTTGCTCTTTTATGCTGAGATGGCTCTCCCTAGAGAGAGCCACTAGACTTTTTGACAGTATGATGGGTTAATAAGTTTTGTTGGCCTTTTACCTTTCAAGTCATTCTCCTTTGCCTACCTGTTATCAAAAATCCTTGACCAGTCCTTCTGTGGTTAGCAAAATCCACGGGAGTCAGTGACTTCTTCTGAGGTGTGTCTCTCTGTACAAAGGAAAGATATACTCTTAGCTAGTGAGATACACTTATCTATGGAAAGAGATCAATTATGGTTTTACAAGCTAGTCCAGCAGACTGGATCTTACCAAAGTGCAAAGCTCAACACAGCACTAAAACTGCACACTTCTAGCACACACACCCCCTCAAAACCTGAAAAAAAAATTCTTCATACAACTGTACCACATCCTCCCCAAGACTTTTAGCATCATCCTCTCTACAGATAGCAGGAATCCCGGTACATCAGAAGCCAGGAAACGAGGCCTTCTGTAAACCAACAGCAGGCATGAAAGAAAACCTCCTCCCTTTCTCCATGTCTCCCCTTACACTGTAACATACCCTGAATGTATGAGTTGTGTTGGGTCTTGGAAACTGATCAACAGTAACAGTTCTTTCTCTGAGTGGCTGTTGCTCTGCCCTGCCAGCCATTGCACTTGACACTCTGCTTTGAGTATATTGTTCTTGATGCTGAGAAAATTAAGAAGAGCATTAAGAGAATGCAGCAATTGAGTAAGTTAAAATATTTTTTCTGTTGACATACAAAAGTTTACAAGAAGGTAAGAAAAATATGTTTTCAATAACCAAAAGCACGAATTTAAGTGTTGCCTGTTTTTTAAACACATGCAAGACTGTTTCTATGTTGGCATGTCGATATATCAACATGTAAATTTACTTTCATTCTCGTGATTTATTACTGCCTCAGCCTTCAAAATATAAGATCTGGCTTTTTTCAGTTATTAGCCTTTTCTACTTCAGTCAGCATAGTATCCTAATTCTTACAACCTAATATTAGTGAATAAAACAATGAAAAGAGCTATTTAAATCCAGATGCATAGAAGAGCAAGGTTACTATCCTGTCATCTTGTTGGTTTGTTCTTCTTAGCTTTTTTTTTTAACCAGACTTTTCTGTTGTCAGAGACTTTCCACTATGATCTGTCTGTGACCTAAGGTTTTGAACTGCCTCCTCTTGCATTGTAATTGCACCCCAATGTAACACACATTAGCACGTTAAAACTATGTATTAAATACAAACCAACACAAGCTGTAAACTTACTCACTTCAACAAATTACATAGGATAATTTATTTCTAAATAGCTTGAAGTTCTTTACTTTAATGAACACAACTTACAGGGCTCTGCTGCATTCGAGGTACCGAAACACGCTGTTCAACAGCCTCAGAGTTTATTGGTGGTAACTTGTTCCGGGTCGCAGGTGCACGAGCAGAAGATAAACTACTGCCAACCCTACAGAATTTTAAGGATTCCTGTTTTAGAAGCATTCACCTTACAGACTTCTTCATTGAAGTAATATGAAATTATTAAGTAGTAGATTTCTTTATAAAGCTCAGCTACAGAAAGTAACAGCACCTAATACAGCAATAAAGAAGTAGAACAAATGCCTTTCCTCAAAAACAATCATGGCTCTGTTTGCTTTCTTCCTCCCTCTGAATTCTACAATTAATAATAAATCATGGGTTAGTTCTCAAGTATTTTTCAAAATCCTTCAGTGGTGAAATTTCAGTAAAATTCTGAGAAAAGAATAAAATGAAAAACTTACTTTTTTTTTCCTTTACGGATTTCATCATTGTGCATATTAGGAACTTCTGAGCAGGGATGGTCAGAGGTGAGAGAAGGTAACCTTGGTACTTTCCTAGAAGATGCCAGCAGAGCCGGAGATGGTGAGAGAACACTGTTATCAGAAATTCTCCCCAACCTAGCATGTGCTGAATTTGGAGTGCTGGAAGTACTGGTATGCTGCTTGTCTTCTTGCTCATTCCTAGGGAAAGAAAAAGAAATAAAGAATTAGGATCAAGAAATACAAGGGTTTAACAGTGCATCATTTTTACCTGTGCAAATTACTATCATATCAGTGATCACAAGATCACACAAGATCACTGCCTTTTTTACCATTTTTTTTCTAATTGCAAAAATTTTTTATGTGTATAATGTTAATTATGTTGTATTTTCAAAATGTCAATGTCACCTACTGGTGTTTTTCTGCCACGGCAGCATGCCTCTGTTGGAGTGGTTTTGCTTGAATTGTCATCACACCACTCAGATCACTGCAGAAGTTGCTGGAGAAACGGTAAACCTATTAAAAGCAACAACTATGTGTTAACCTTTACTTTTTTAGAAGGAAGATCTCAAAAAGCACATAGTCAAGAGGTATTTTACTTGTTTTTTATTTCTAGTTCCTTTTAAGATGGTTCAGTATAATTCTCAGGAGTAGATGGGGCAACAATGCTTTTTTCTTTTGCTTATCTTCAACATATTTTTATAAACAAAATTTGTGTAATTTACTTACTGAATTGCAACTCCATTTACAATATAAATTTCAGTTGAAGCCAAAGATTGATTCTTCAAACTTTTCACGTTCTTTCACTTTTCCCTCAGCACAGGGGCATGATTTATCAAAGGATTTTACTTCTCCTGGCTGCTGGGACTGCTATAGAACAAAGCACACCCACAGGGAGAACCAAGACTGCTGTGCAATCTTTCCTGTGTTCCATATCTCACTCTTTAGCAAGCATGGAAAAAGAGCCGATGGAAGAAAATTAAGTCACTTGAACTCAGTAGTGAGAGACAAGAGAGAAAAAAAACCACAAACAAAAGCAGTGGCTGAAAAAGGAAACAAATGTGCAATACACTAATCAGGAGACAGAGGGAGGAGACAGCAAGCAGGACATTTTATCAATATAAGCATGAGCTTCTACAAAGACAGGTAAGGCCTAGTGCCAGCGTGCTAGTGGATGTACTGCAGAATCCCCTTTCACAAGAGGCAAAGAAAAAGAGAAGGAATGGGAGACTCTGAAACTCGCGGTGTTGAGAGAAAAGCTCTTCAGGTTGCAACTTCACATCCCAGTTTATCTTCTTAATTCTAGCATGAAGAAATTACTGGATCACAATAAAAGCATAATTAATTTTTAAGGACAGAAAAGAATTCAACAAGACTTTGCAAATCAATGGCAGCAATACCTTAGAGGTAAATTGTACCTTTCAGAACCACCAAAGAAAAACAATTGACAATAAACAAAAAATGAACATTGAATTAAACCTCATTTTAAATCAGATGACTTAAAGTACCCCTAACTGGTATAAAGAAGAAAAAAAAAAAACATAGGAAATAAAGAAAAAGAGCCTTTTCAAGTTTCACTCAAGACTGTCCAAGGTTTGACAAAAAAAAAGAACATCTGACAGAGAGGTTTGCTTTATTTTTACCTGTGATGAAACCAAATGAGCCCCAAAAGATACACTTTGTGCTTCAGAGCCTCTGGAAAGTGGAATGGTCCCAACATCTGCTGTAATATGAATGGCTGGCAAATGCAGCAGTTTTGCTGTAACAGTTTTCAGTTTTTCTATTTGTTGGTCACACTCTGCACAACAGCAAAAAAAGTAGAGGGAACAAGAAGTATTTTCTATGTTTACCAGCCATCATTTCTTGGGGTTCAAGCAATATGACACAGTAAATAAAGAGTTGCACATAGCTTTATATTTCCATGCTATTTTAAAATCTAACATATATTATGGGTTTTTGAAAGCATTTCCATTTGTCTTTGCTTTCTCTGACACTGACATACAAGCTGGCCTATACAGGTAGATTCAGAGGTGGTTGTTTAAGAAAACACAGATAAGACCTTTGAAATGCTGTCTAAAAATCCCCAGAGCTTTTCCTTTCTAAGTAATAAAAAAAAAATAAAAATATGTATCAAATAAAAAGTCTATTGATACCAGCCTCGTCTGACAGCAGCTATACACTGTTTCATTTTGGGTATATGTTACCATCTTATTTCTATTATAAACTCAAATTCTTTTCCTTCCTAGTTTAAATACTAGCTATATGACCTTTAAAAATATAAAAGGGCAAACCTATCATAATACTGCTAAATGATCCTCCCTAAACTATAATACAGAGAGCTAAACAATCCACCTGCGCTGTCAAAACTTTTAAATTACAGAAAAACCTGAAATGTTGCATTCTGATGCTGCAAGCATTCAGAAAAATTTTGCCATTTCTTACTTTGTTGTATTCTTATATTTGAGGTCAGGTGTACCTTACATTAGAGGTAACTTCCAAAATCCACCCTCAGTTATTCTTCTGTTACTTCTGTCCTTTTAAAATACATTGAAAGAACTGAAATTCCCCTCAGCCTCCAGAGATAACACATGCACACTAAATAGATTTTCACTTCTACTTATTTTTCCTAGCTTTTCCTTTTCCTCACTACAGTCTGTTAGAATATGAAAACATAAAATAAAATTACATGTGTCACCTTTTCTTCCTCCTATAGTCAAGTCATGAATTCCTGCACATCAGCAAGACTGTCTATCTCACTTTAACATTCTGACCACCCAAGGGTTCTTTCTATTTCTAAAGCTTAAACAACGAGGACTAGGAGACTCTGATTCCTAGGTTCCAGATCACATTGTCAGTGATCCCCTGACTAATGATGACCAACAGCATCAATTTGCATCAGCAAGCCAGTGAGTAATATTTTTATTTTTTAAAACACACTCTCTTGCAATGAAGCTATTTCAGTATTTTTGTTTTTACATCTCTCTTACAAAACTCCCTGAAAATTAGGAAGAAAGTTTTATTTTAGGTGCATGTGTGTGCACACATTCTTGCGGCAAGGCATTTTATATGTTACAGTTCTACAGCACTGGTTATCTTAACTAAAGCTTGGAACATTTGCTTAATTTAAGCAGATAGGGAAGGATGACTTTTCTGAATTAGATTCAACAAATACCATATTTTCAAATGAAAATATCAAATACCTGGGATACTAGTTTCCCAATTTTTTTTAATCAGTTCCTCCAATATTCCAATGACATTGCTCCAGATATGATCAAACACTTCAGAAGCCACAGCATCTTTGATACAGGCATTGGGAGAAACAGGGGGAATGCCACGCTTACACCTCTTCTCAGAAAGACGCATTTTCTTTTGTTCCCAAATCTCATCCTCACTAATAAAGGAAACAAATTCAAAAGAATTCCCATGGGAACTGACTTCCTGCCCCCACCCCCTCCTTCAATAGAGAAACAGACATATGGAAGAAAAGGCAGTCAGCTGGAGATAACCAAAAAACTCAAACTCAAATTCACATAAGGGAAGAGAACCCATCAAATACATATACTGATTTCTTTTTCATTTGCTTGCCATTGAAAAATTTAAAAATCCCATTAAGGCATTACAACAGAAAGGTCTACAGGTCTAGGAAAAAGTTTTGTATGTGGCACATAGTCATTTGAGACTAAGTCCTATGCTTTTTACAATAAAATAGGCAACATCTGTTGTATTTGTCAAGAGGACTCTCACATGAAAATTTCTTTCTCAGCATGCCCTATATACCTGCACACATCTGCAATTTTCCACCACTGATCAAAGATGGAACAACTTTAAAGGATTTCTGCAGTATGACAAGAATAATAGAGCCCATAGCCTTGCACATACCTTCTTCCTATGCACTACATTAAGAACAGTTAGGCTTTTTAATTTTTTTTTCTGTTTCCTCTGTTTCTAGGGAAATATGTTTTAGCAACATCTCCTAACTTGGTCTTCTAGTTCACCCTCTCAGGAAGAATGTTTTATTTTTTTCTTTTTTAATGCCATTGTATTTGTTCCTAAGGAAAGGGGTTTTTTGTTTTTTTTTTTTTTGAGATGAAAAAGATGCTTCCAAATTCCTACTGGTTTCTACTACCTCCTTTTCTCTTCTCTGTCACTTCTTCACTTCTTCCTCAAGCCACACTGCGTAATTCTTAACTTGTGAGATGTGGCTGATTAGTCCAACTCACAAAATGACCAAGCTACTCTCCTGTCATGCTTTATAACACCTAATGTTTTAGTTATGGAGAACAAGGTATTTCACAACTGAAGGAAACAAAAAGCATATGAAAGAGACAAAAGAGAGAAACATACCTTCAGACAAGTCTCCCTCCCAAATTAAGTTTATTTACTTATTAAAACAGAGAAAATTACTGAGAGCATTCTTAAACCTAAATGCTTCCTAAAAAGGCAGCAATCCCAGCCTTCTCTTTCAAAACGAGCACTGAAATGGTCTCTGTTTGAAAAGTTCCTCAGGTTCTCAAGCATGTCTTTGTTCTGAGTGTGCATAAGGCCTTAGCATAAAAAGCTTTGTGCCCAGTGAGTGCTACCAAAGCTTTCCCCTTTTAGAGGCCTTTTAGAAAACAGCACATGATGATCTTTCATCCACCCAGTAGCCTAACTGCTGGAACATTCAACTGGCTCACAGGAAACCTAGGCTGCACTGTGAGGAAGATGACTGAATGACTCGTCACTCTCAAGAGTGCTCTAAATGCGGGCTGTAACCTGCAGCTCTCCTCACAAAGCTGCTGTACTCTGCACAGAAAGAATTTAAGACTCATTAGGGCAGACAGTGACAGCACAAACAGTGTAATGACACTAAACACCCTGACAATCAAGGCACTCACTTGGGGAGAAGGGATGCCTTCATCCTCAAAATTAAAATAATCTTAAAATTAAATATTCATTTTACTGAATCTCCATGCATCAAATACCTCAAAACAACTAGTTAAGACGCTCCTCTGAAATGGGAGATGTGAGCTTTAAACCACTTATCTTAATCTTAATCTTCCACATGCCCAGTGAGTCTCCTGACCACTGCGTTACCGAACACAGGGGTGGAAGAGAAGCACAGTTTAGTAACCCTGACTCAGTTCATTGATATTTTTTCATTACATTCTTTAAAAATACATATATCTGTTATTTACAGTTCCTTGTTGTCAAAGGCAAGATATTCCTCTATTTTTCCATCCTCATCATAAATTTCTTCTTCCAGGAAGGAATACATGGCTGAGTCTGGTGCAGAAATCCTATTGGAACTTGAATGAAGTGATGTGTGTATTGGAGATACTGTTGGGATCAGTTTAGAGCCTGAGATGCAGAGCCTGAAAAAATATCAAGAAAATGAGAATTAAACATTCAAAGAAAGGAGAAAGTGCATATTTAATTATACTGACATGTTTCAGTAATACAAAAGTAATATTTGTACATGTTTCTGAAGAGGGAAGACCAAAACGAAAACTTTAAAAAATTAACATACTCTTTTGTATGACCACTACATTCAAGCAGGCCAGGCACGCACTTAGTATCTACATGGGCATCATTTCTGCTCTGAAAATGCTGAAAGCCTTCATCCTTTGGCACTAGGAGCTGCTTTCCTAGAACCCTGAATAAAAAGGAGAGAACAAGCAGTCATAGATGGAAACCTTAGCCAAATGCAAATATCCAGAATATAAGCACCTGCAAACAGTAGGCAATGCAAAAGCACAACTTACATCTGCTTTGAGGGGCCAGAGCCTTGTGTGTTACCTTAATATTGCCTATTATTTAAGTCATTAAAGTTAAGCTGATTTACACAATATGATATTCTAGTTTACAAATTTTAAGAGCAAATAGTAAAACTTGTTAGATTGTTCTAAAGCCAGACAAAGTAAACACACTTCCTCCCTTATGAAAAAACTATGTAAGATACGTTTTAAAATGGATGCAGAAGACAATTAACATCTGTGACTTGACTTATCCAACTCCAGTATCCACCTAATGTGAGTAAAAGTGCTAATCAAAAGTGTTTACATGGAAAGTTAAGGCTACAGTTAAAGTTCAGAAAATGTGTGAACTCCAACGTGCATAATGTAGAGAGGAAGAGCGAAAAGGTTAAAACTAACTCTAACAAATTTACACTAAATTATATAATAAAATAATTTCTGAACAACTTTGCCTGCAATCATTTTAATAATCAAAATGAAGGGCATCAGTTGCTAAAGCACCACTGCCCAGATTGACTGACAGCTATGGCACAGCTCAGTCCCAGGGACAGAGATCTGAATGCACAAGTGTTGCTGATGCCCAAACTATAAGAGGTTATCCCAAAAACTCAAATTACAATGATAACTGATTTAAACTACCACTAGCAAGAATTTCCTTACCTTATATGAGGAAATTGTTCAACCCAATCTGCACATTCTGCCTGCAGGTTCTCTGTTTTTGAGGTCACTTTTCCTTCAAACAGCAATTCATCAATCTCCCAAAACAACTGTTGCACTCTCTGTGTGTTGGCTTTATCAAATTCCTATATATTATTAAGTTAACAGTTGTTAGCAAATATGCATGAATACTACAATTTCTGTGATATTTAAAGAACAGAACAACATGAATCAACTTCACTGAACGTGTCAAAATGCATGTTCAGACTATGTATTTTTGACACAATTTATATACCACAATGCAGAAAAAAACCCCAAAAAACACCCAAAAAATCCCACACAGCTGGCCTGAACAAGATGATTTAGCAAAAAGGAACTACAAGACTGTATTTCTTTGACATTAACATATAACGTACAGCTGCCTAGAATTAGCCCTATTAAAAAAAAAGAAAAAAAGAAACAACCATTTTAAGTTGTTTAGACTCACAGCTTATTCTCTGTGCCAATGTGAAGCACACACACTGCATCTCTAGCACCCAGGGCACCCTGCTCTTTCAAGAAGTGCTCTTCTTCTTTCTTCCTAAGTACAACAGCTAAGAGGGCAAAGAGGGAGCACCTTATGCCTGGGTGACCTAGTCTAGGGCTTAGGAAACAGCTGTCAGTGTGAGAAATGCCCTTCCATACTTCTTCACTAAACCTACAACTCAGTGCTACTAGATAGTAGGTAAACACAAAGGCAAATGAAAATAGTAGAGAAATGCCTGATTTTATCCAGTGATGGGGAGACAAGCACTTGGCTGAGGGTTCCTCAGCTAGGCACTGTTTGTAATGACATTTGCCATGTACTTTAGACACTTTGATACACTAAAAAACTGATAAAACTCAAGGACCAAATTATGCTTGTTCCCTTCCAGCTGAATGCCTCCAAGCACTTTAGGCCACAGAAGGGATCACACGGAATGAGAAAATAACTCTCACACAGGTAACTGTAATATCCAGAGTCAGGCTTTCTCCTGAAGGGCTGGCAGCAACAGGTCAGGTCAATACGCTAAAGGTTAGGGCATTATGCAAAAAGAATGGCAGAACTACCACTACCAGCCACAGAAGGTTTTCTGAAATGAAAGTGGCAGCAACTGCAATGCTGCAACTTCCAGCCTGCACCAGGTATGCCTCAGAGGTAAGCCTTTGTAACAGTAGGACCTCTCTGCATCATCTACAAAAAATAACTGAGTTCATGAAAGAGCTAAATGTTTACCAAGACTGGGAAATTTATATGCATGTTAATGAATGTAATTCATAACTGAGAACATTGAGAAAAGTTGAATTTAGACATTGCCTGCACTATACAGTGTTTGAAAAGACATGTTTTATAATTGGCTTGCAGTCAAAAACCTAAGCCTACCTTCTTCAGTAAAACAGCTTTGTTTTTCCCAAACTTCATCATTTATCATTTTATTCTATTTTCCTTTGTTACACATCAGCTGCACCAATACCAACATGCAAATAAAACTATTTTTTAAATATTCAATTAATACACTTATTCATTAGGCTATTATGGATGAGATGCTGCATGTCCAACATCAGTGAAAAACTAGTATTTCTACAATATTTAGAGAAAGAGTAATATAAAAGTTTCTGTGACATACATCGTCCCTCCAGGAGTAAATCGAACTTCTTTCAGTAGACAAACTAGTAGTATAGCTGTTTATTCCAGACCAAGAATAATTCAGCTCCGTGGGTGTTGTGCAATCACTAGGTGAAAGGGATGAAAGTGTCTCACTGAAAAGAAGACAAATTAAAATGAAGAACACATGTATTTTCTGTATAAACATCTTTTAAATAAAGCAACAAATCAAGTAAATGGTGCAAGCAGATAGTTTAAAGTAGAGTGAATACATGCTCCCATTAGTACTATTTACTACCTCAAAGGCAATTCCTTCTACACTATTAAGTTTTTGCATGCATTTAGACCATTGCAACTGTATGACACTCAAATATGCATATGAATGTGCGTATGTATTTGAATATAATTATATGCAGGTACCTATGTTTCGAGCACAAACAATTATTTTGGTTTCTCCACGTCAGATAGTTATCACATGAAAAACAGATGGAAGATAACATAAGGTTTCTTTAACTCTTTCACATTAGAAGCTTACACAAGAAAACTTTTGCAAAACTAAGCACAAGATCTCTACAGATGTTTCAAATAGCACTGAGTTACATGTCCCTATGCAGCACTTTTTATGTTGCTAAATCTGGCGCACTTTAAAATTTGAGCCACGGCAACCCAAGCCCCCAAAGTTGTAGCTGGTCCCTTCCAGCTACCACCCACCCCAGGATGCAGGGAAAGCAGTGGTAATTGGATGTGCAGGCAAATCCTAACCAGTGTCATCTGGAATAAAATTTCTTGAAAGTTAACTAACCTGCGACATGGGCAAGCATGATTTCAATTTAATCATGAAGTCTGATTTCCCTTCCAGACCTAATCAGTGCCCTCTACTATGGTCTTAAAATAATTAAATCCGTATCACAAACCAGGAATAAAGTTCAAACCCTTTAAACAGCAGGTTAGGTCAATTTGTATCCTGGATTATATCGTGCAATAGTTATTATCCATGAGAATTACTGGAAGAATGATTAGTGAAAATTAACTCCAATCTGGAAATATCTAAGTCAAAAGTAAGTTAATTAAGCATTATTTCAGAAGTACATGAATACCAGGTATAATTGTCAATGGCTTCTTCAACATTTCTTGCAAAAACTGATGGAAGAGACACTCCACTTTTTCCAGAGAGACACCGATTTGGGGAACCTCTGGACAGTCCCTTCCTATAAACACAGAAACATAACATCCCATAATTTTAAATAAAGTTAATTCACATCTCCACTGCAAAGGTAGGGGTGAGGAGGGCAGGGGAAAGGAGAAGAGGAGGAAGACAACTACTCTGTTGAATTTTTCCATTTTTCAGTCCTATCCATCAAGACAAACATTTGCCTGAAGCAACCAAATAGCTTTTATTTGCCTTACTTACAAAAGTGTGTTTAAAAAAATGTACTTTTGAGACTTGCTTTACTCCATTGCCATCCTCCTTGGATTTTGCACTTCAAACTTCGCAAGAAGCACACACAAATGAATCAGCACCTCACTACTGCAACAACAGAGCAAAGGCACAAACCGGTAATTGCCCATAGAACAGTTTAACGAAGGAATGTTTTTTCTTTGTTTGGGAGGGCAGGGCTTTTTGTTGGGGGGGGGGTTGTTTGTTTTTTTAGATGGAAATTGTTTATAATTACACAACTGTTCATAATTACATATTACATTCGATGCATGAAGTTGGGTCATTAATATGTTAAACCCAGCTCTTCAGAACATACACAGATGTGTGAAAGTGCTCCTTAGAAGCACTTAGAACAACTGATTGCTTCACCTATTTTCATGCCATAAAACCCTCACAGCAGCATGACGGCATCGAAGTACATTTGTGAATGAGTAACTATAGGAAAACAGCTCACAGTTCCAAGAATTTTCTTCATTTCTTTTAGACAAGAACTGTAGATTTATCTTTCCATTACACATATTACAAAGACACATATGTCAAAATCTAACTCTCTACTCAAATGGACCACATCACACATCCTACTGCTATGTCTTGGTTAAGAAAACAACAAAACCTACCATCAGCTTGAACTTGCATCAGGGAAGACCTTAAATTTAAAATCCTTCGAGGCTGGTTAAACAGCAGTGGAAAGCATTTCCATATGTTTGCACTTCATATCCTATCTCTTCCCTAGGCATCTGCTTTTGGCCAGTAAGCACTAGGAGGCTCAATGAATATTCATAAAGTCCGGTCCCATGACTTGAGTCTCATTTTGTCCTAACACCAAAATCTATCTCCCAGGAAGTAACAGCGAGCCCACAATCTCTCTTCTACATGGAATGCTGTTTCCTTCTGTTCCCGTACATCCCTCTCTGTCTAACATTTGCCATGTTATTTATTGCTCAGGGAGCTTTATAAGGTCTTTCAATTTTTTTCACAGCTGACCCTTGTTCTTAGTATTTTTTCACAACTTAATACCACCACCAAGGTTTAACGCTTCACTGCTCTTTACCTGCTCAAACTGCCCTGGTCGGATTCCCATGAAACATCACTGGAGGAGGAAACCACTTACTGTTACCTTCTGCTTACTAATACCCAAGCTAAACCTCCCCTGGCACAATTTCAGGCTGTGTCCTGTTCTCTTGATGTGAGCTGGAGCAAAGTAGTGTTTCTGCCACATTTTTCCACTGCATGTTATTGTACTACGTCTCCTGACTCCTTGGACCACACGCCATTAGACGTGCCGGTAGATCACTGCAATAAAATAAAACTATAGGAAAAACCCCTCCCAGCACATCTATAGCATCACTTCCCCTGCGCTGGCAGGCGAACACCAGAAGCTGGAGCAGCTCCCGGCTACTCACCGAAAGCTCCGCAACGACGGGCATTACACGGGGACAACAACACCGCGGCAGCGCTCCCGCCGCCCCGGCAGGAGAACAGGCGGGCCCGCCCCGCCACGGGCCGCAGCCCCCGGCCCCGCCGGCACACTCACCCGGGGACGAGCAGCCCCCGGCCTTGCCTCCACACTCACCCCGGGAGGAGCAGCCCCCGGCCCCGCCGCCACACTCACCCCAGGACGAGCAGCCCCCCGCCGCAGCCGCCCCGCGGGCCGGCGCCCCGCTCCCTGCGCATGGGGGCGCGGCGGACGCCCCCCGCACCGCCCCGGCGGCGGCAGCGCCGCACCGCCCGCTGCCAGCGCCCACCCGCGGCTCGCCACGCCACGCCCCGCCGCAAGGCCTCGCACCCCTCCGGGCCTCCCCACGAAAAGGTAAAGCCTCAGCCTGGGCGGGAGCGGTGCCATCTCCCTATCTCTCGCCTCGCAACACGCAGCCAAAGAACGCCGAGCTTGGTCTTTCTGACCAGAGGAGGTTTCCCTCGCCTTCGTAGATGAACAGTGGTTATGCTGTGCTGGCCAACTACATAAAGATTTTCCCTTGTTAATTGAGTTCCTGTCTGAACTACCTCTGTGCACGTCACCGATCTTCTTTAGCATGGGTCAGAGAAGAGCATAGACTTGTCAGCTGCAGATTTACACTAGCTCCAGTGATCCACTAGCTTCATTCATCTCTAGCTCCAGGACATAAAAACTCTGGCGTCTACGTATTTTGCAGAAAGCATCTCTTAAAGGAGGAAACAGATATGCTTATAAGCAAAAAGAAAATACAAGAAAGAGAAAATAAAAATAAAGGCACCATTAAAAATGCTGAAAATTAAGATTGAAAAAGCAAGACATATGAAGCCTCACCTTACAGGAAATCAAACAGCAGCATTTAAATGATATTTAAAGTTTCATAACCAAACAAAATATTGCTAAGAAAGGCATACAGAAAATGTCTAGCATTTTTTCTCTGATGATATTTTTTTTTTAACCTGTTCAGTAAGGAAAGTTCCATATTCTTCAAAGACCCATTCTTCCGTGTCAGTAAATCATTACGAAACTGCACACATAATTACAACTTTCCTTGTCCTTAGCAATCATTCTTCTATAGGAGCAGGTTTGTCCAACGCTTCGGACACACGCACACACACAAAAACAAGAGTACTTTGTTAAGAAAATCTTACCCAAGCAGATGAAATCTAGAATAGAAAATTATGTCCTGGTTAAGAAAATGCAATTTAAACCTTCCACCTTCTCCTATATTTCCACAGTGGAGAGCAAGAGTTAAATTTTGTGCAACCGTTTGGGAAGGCTTTTTTGTCATTGCAGCAACAAGATTCAGCCAGTGGTCATCCCCACACCTTACCACGACAAAACCCCACAATATCATTTGCATTTCTCTAAACCAAGCCCCTTCTTCCTTTCCAACCAACACAATGATAATTATATGGATAAATAATTGTATAGGAGTATATTATTAGTATTAACACTACTTCCATCACTCTAATTTGTAACTGGAGAGAACTAATAAAGGACATGCCAAAAGACATTCAACCAAAGGAGCTTAGAAAAGTCAATTAATAGAGAAAAATGCTAACTTTATTGTCTGTCACACATGCTATGAGATCTCTTTCACAGATGATTCAAAGTCTGTTTTGTAGCCACAGCCCCAATAGCAAATATTATGCATTGCTCCCTTGCCAACAAGGTATAATATCCTAATTTCTAATTAAGCTGCTGCCTTGTTGTCTGAAATAATTAATTTTCTTAGATTTCACATCTTTACACATTCTTTACTATTCTGGAAGTATGATTTGTTACAAATGTAAACATACTAACCACATCATGTTCTCATAACAAGACATCTTTATCTTTTAACCTACCATTTACAGCTGGGGCACTTAAACCTGGAGAAAAAGAGGGTTCAGGGGGACCTGAACGCTCTACAACTCTATCACTCTCTACCTGAAAGGAGTTTGTAACCAGCTAGGGGTTACTCTCTCCTCCCAAGTAGCAAGTGGCAGGATAAGCAGAAGTAGCCTCAAGTTGTGCTAAAGGAGGTTTAGATTGGATATTAGAAAAATATTCTTCACTGACAGGGTGGTCAAGCCTTGCAGTAGGCTGCTCAGGAAAGTGGTGGAATCACCAACTCTGGAAGTGTGTGTGACACCTGGGGACACAGTTTAACAGAGAACACATCATTGCTGGGTTAATGCTTGGACTTAATGATTTAGGGGTCTTTTCCAACCTTAATGAGTCTCTTTATTAATCTCACTCATATTCTCACTTTCTGCTTGTTTGTCTATCCCATTCTTGGTTTGTAAAACCAAGACATAACTATTTGTATGCCAGATTTCTATAAAACTTTGATGTGGAGTATGTAAAAAAAGAAATTAAACTATAAGCTCTCTCTAGCATAAATGTGGAAATATATCTGCAGGAAAAACAGATTTTGAAATCACACCAATCTTTCTTAAACTGGTCTGGGACAATTACCACGGAAGTCTATTTCTTATTCTTCTTTGAAGTGATACAGCAAACAGAAGCGTAACACCACAAATCCGGCCTGCTCAAATATTCCTCTTTAAAGGCTCACTCAACACAGTACCCACCTGTCAGGGGCATTTTCTTGGAAGTGAATAGACACTCCTGGTCAGTATCATGTTCACTGAGCAGAACGTACAAACTGTTGCAAACAACACTGAAAAACTGTCACTGCACAAAATGATCCTTCCACACATTCACCAGCTAATGCTACTCCATCTTCAGAGTAAGCAAGAAACAGACATGACATGGCTACTTTCCACATTGATAATGTACAACATTCCAGTCATGCATCGCAGTATTGTAGTTGAATATTTATACCACAGAAAATACAAAATTCATAAGAAATACACACATCCTTTTCCTTCTAGGTCAGGCAGTCATCTGTCCAACTTGGTTGCAGTCAGCCATGGTAAGCTCGCCCTCTATTGCTTGACAAAACACATCTTTTTCAAGATTGAGAGGATCTTTAGGAAAAGCACTTTCACTCTCTTGTAACAACTTCAGTGACCACAAACTTGCAGGTATAACAGACAGGATTGAATGTCATTGGCAGAGCCCAGAGGAGGTAGTACCATCTGAAGACTGCTGTAACAACTGTGCCAGGGCTTACACTTGGTTAATACAGTAGCACCAAGTTCCTCCTTCAGCGGTCTGGACCTTTTATGAGACATATCCAGTGACTTTTACAGCTCATAAAAGCAGTCAGCATTTGGCTCAGCATTTAATCACTTACTGCAGCAATACAAAGAAAATCCAGGTAGATGACAACAATGCCTGTCCCTGCTTACAATCCCTGTGCCTCAGCTTTCTCAAAATCAGGCTCATTGTGGCATATCTTGAAAAAGCATCCTGGGAATAGTTTAGCTGACGTAACTCCAGTAGGTGCATGTAAATTAAACAGCATTATGAGAGATTTAATAGAACATTCATCTAGCCTTCTGCAGTAAATTATTTTATAAGGCAGCTATATTATGTTTGGCTTGTTTGTTTAGAAATGGCATGGCTTATTAAGGAGAATGAAAAAGAAAACCTACCTTGAAAGGTAATACAGTAAATGCTGATCATCTTAACTTCTAGCAACACATCTTTATCATTACTCTTACTGAACATGCCAGAGGCTTGACAGCTAGCAAAAGAACATTCCAAAAATTATAGTACGTCTCCATTTGAGAGTGTCACTTGGAGATAATTTTCATTTTGTTCTCATCTTTATTAATAAGCACTGCCAGAAGTGTTTCAATGCTTTCAAGTCATCTGGTTGCTGGTCAATGAATGAAGCACTGTTTATATGTGAAGCATGAAAATATATATCTGAACTGACTATATCTGAAGCATGAAAATACAAATCTTTATCAGAGTCTTTCCACTGATAGTGTTTAATCACACCACCTGATTGGCCCTTTCCTCCTACAAAAATGTCACTTACTGTCTTTGAAGCTGTGTATGGGTTACTGATGTGTTGATGATCAAACTACCTTGGGAGCATTTGTACAGTTGCACTCTCGGTGAGTTTTTCCTTTGTCTACCTTTTTGATCTGACAAAATTACCATAATTTGCCACAATGTGAACTTTCTTCATATGTTGCTAAAATTCTATTTGTAAATAAACATAAAAGCCTCACTTGGTTCAAAAAGTAGGTAGCATTGGAACAAAAGCATGGAAGTTTCTCTGTGCTTGCCTACATCACCATCTACAGTTTGTCAGTCCTCTGTGGCTGCCTCCTGCACAGAGTGCTCACTAGGTGCACTCAAAATCACCTCTTTTACCCAAGACCTGCTTCCCCTTAGCGTCAAGTATTTCATCTGTGAGTGAAGAAAAATAATAAAAAATTAATGTAATTATTTTCTTGAATCACTGACAACACTGAAAGCAGGCCATCATTTTTAATACAATTTCAATCTGTGTGCACACAACACAGAATCTCAGGCATCTATTTGTAGTACATACACTTAAGTGCAATGCCTCCTATTAGACATTTTCATATTGAATCCTGAAACAGATTTAAAGCTTTTCCAGCCATGATCTCTGTTGAGTTCTGCTCCTATCTTTATAAAACAAAGTAAGATAAACTGCTCCAATTTTTAAGACAGGCTTATGTCGCAGATATCTTTTCACTAAAAATCCTTTCTTAGGATTTTTTCTTTTCTGAGGAGCTGAAACCTCAGAAACAAAATGTAAACAATTGTTATCTGCTGCTGTGGAATGCAACAGGTGGATCCATGATTGGTGTCCTGTAGATGTTTAGATTTGGTGACCAGTCATGGCAGAGCTGGCTCCTGCTCTCTGTCCGAGCCAGCTGCCTTTGTTTTCATTCTTTTCTATTCTATTCTTAGCTAGCCTTCTGAGAAAATCTTTCCTTCTATTCTTTTTAGTTAGTTATAATGTAATATATATATCATAAAATAATAAATCAAGCCTTCTAAACATACAGTCAACATTCTCATCTCTTCCCTCGTCCAAGACCCCCTGTGAACACTGTCACAGGCTTATTTGTATATAGTAATTTTATTCTTCTGCAAATTTTAAAGGCTTTGTAATTTTGAAATGCATTCAAGATGGCATGAGCTTGCAAGGTATTATATATATAATTTTAAATCTAGCTGTAATTCTGATTCACTGTGAAAATGCTACTGCAAGTATAATTCTTGGTTATAGGAAATATAAGCAATTTCTGAGTGCAAGATACTGTAGAAGTAAATCTGACTTTTTAATATAAA